GTCCGCTGGACTGTTCTGGACCGGCGGGGGTGGGGGGGGGGGCTCTGCAACTTACCTGGCTGCTTCTTGTTCTGACTGAGGGCTGCTGGGAGCAGGGGGTGGGGCTTGTTGCATGTTCCCGCCCCCTGGGCTCTTTACTGCCGGAGCTCTGCTCCTGTGCGCTCCTGCATGAAATGACCCCTGATGGAAGGTATATATTTTGTAATGGATTGGTACGTATCCTGATTATAAGTGGATTGGTACGCTTACTGCGTATTAGATACAATAAAAAGAGTTTTAACAGGAGGTTTAAAAGTTTACACAGGGGGTTGGTATTGTTTAAAGCTGACAGACTGGATGAGTTAATGGCCAGGGTAGCTGCCGCTTGTTTATGTGTTCGTGTACGGTTATCACGATTTGCATAAAACGGGCGACTCAGAATTGGTGACATCAAAGTTAAGGGCTTCCCGGCACTTAAGCCGAGCTTTGAAGCTGAGTTCCCTTCCAACTACAGTTCCCTATGAGAGCTGCTATACTGTAATAGCATATTGGTCAGAACACTGTGAAAGGTGTTATCCATATCGCAGTCCCTGTCTTGAGTCTTCCAGACGGACCAAGGGAGCTTCAGAAGTTCACAGTAGAGGTAGCTCTTGGGGAATCACAAAAACTGAATGTATAGGAAATAATTCTTAGCTATCTTTTCAGCCCAGGCATTATGGACACTGATATTTGGCACTCAGCAAAAAAGGTTGTAGAAAGTGTGCCTGCTTTCATCTGCAGAGTAGACAGCTGTTTGATTTGTTTTGCTGTGGTGGGTGAAAGGAACTCAAAGAGTGCGGGGCCTTCTTTGCTATCAATGTTGATACACGGTCGACAGCTTAATAAAGAAACAGTTAAGAGTTTCAGTAATTATTGCCTATTAGCCTAGAAGATTTTTTTTAATTGTTCTTTTCAGCAAAATCTTAAGAACTTAAAGAGTCTTGATTTGGTTAACTGTGAAGTCACAAACCTGGAAGATTATAGAGAAAGTGTGTTTGAGCTGCTTCCACAAATCACATATCTAGATGGATTTGATCAAGATGATAATGAGGCCCCTGACTCAGCAGATGAAGATGACGAAGGTAACGATTTGTGTAAATATTTCAGCAGGTTGATGCACCAGTATCGAGCCATTTTGAATTTCCGTAAAAATCTAGTATGGTTAGAATTCCCTCACTATTTGTTATAGTTTTGGATTTGATAAAGAGCCGATGGAATTAGTCTGTTTAAAGACAAAAATGCAAATAATAGTAAAGCTTGGTTTCATATTGCTAATAATAACACTTGCTTGCTGTGTATATCAAGTTAAATAAATATAGTTAAATGAACCATTCAAATACTCTGCTTCCAGTATTAGTCCTTTTACCCCCGAAGAAAACTTAACATTTAACTGTTCTCAGAACAGTCTTGTGTAGTCCAGAAATACATGTCTAGAAACTGCTTTTGTCAAGGAGGGGAAATGCTCAGTGATAGAGCCTCTGCTTGGCATGCAGAAGGTCCCAAGTTCAATCCCCATCATTTCCAGTTGAAAGGACCAGGCAGTGGGTGATGCGAAAAATCTGTTGCTAAGACCCTGGATAGCTGCTGAGTAGATAGTACCTGCTTTGATGAACCAAGGGCTTGCTTCAATATAAGGGAGCCTTCGTGGGTACTTAGGAGGCCCAGGTACACATGAAGCCCCCTTATATTGAAGCAAACTCTTGGTTCATCAGAGTGTTCCCTTTAAGCTGTGCTAGGGGGTGCTGGCACACAAAATTTATCTGACTGCTCAGGGATTTTAGCTTCCAGCTCACAATCATTTTTCCCTCCATTGGAAACCATGGATGATGGGGGCAACTCCTACTGGGGCCTATAAAATTGGATCCCTTGGTCCAATCTTTTTGAAACTTGGGATTTTTTTTGAGGAGAGGCACCAGCAGCTATGCTGCAAATTTGGTACTTCTACCTCAAAAAACTGCCCCCTCAGAGCCCCAGATACCCCCAGATCAATTCTCCATTATATCCTGTGGGGGTCCCCATCTCTCCCTTATTATAATTGAATAGTGGGTGCCAAGATTCTAAAATGCGCCCCGTTAGTGTATGGGCGGGAAAAATGCCACTCAGAAGACGCTGCCTGTGATGACTGGCTCCCTCAGCGAACCTGGGCTGCCATTGGCTGGGTGGCTGGGAGGGGAGGGAGCCAGTCATGCAGCCAGCGTCTTCAGAGCGGCCATTCTTCCGGACATACAGTAAGGCGCGCAGCGAACGGAGCCAGTAGGCTCCGTCCGCTGACTTTCAACCCCCCCGCGCCCACTCCAGGCCACCGAACGGGGCCTGGAGGCCCCGTCCGCCGGCTTCCGCCCCCCCCAGCTTCCCCCCC